ACTGTCACCTTCCTAACTGTAAGGAGAGGAATGGCTCCCCAACAAAAGGCTGAGTCACCCGGAAGTGAATACCCACAGTGCTCGCCTCAGCCCCCATGCTGGAGAGCTTCAGGCTGTTTTACTGCAATTATTTCCACTTGCAATGAGGCAGCTCACTTTGGACACATAAATAGGACCTTGAGGACAAAAGAAGTTCTGCTTAGGACTCTTAACAGAGAACCTGAAAGATCAGAGCATAAAGTCTCTTCCTTTAACTTGCCCATCAAAGTAAAACATAGCCTAGGGACACTCACAGGGGTAGGAGTGGACACTGTGGTGTGGACTCCATCCTCCCCCAGGCCATCCCTCTCTTAGCAGTAAGGATGCATGGGGAAACTCAGTTCTCACTAGCTTTCTCCTGAAATCAGATTCAAGACTGTACAAACCCTATCACTTAAAGCATTGAGGAATTATTTATATGTTTTCGACCTTTTAAACTGTTAAATATTTTAATTTTTTATACTGTTAACTTTTTAATTTAATGCTAACATTTATTTTGAAACTGAAATAGGATCTGTTATTTTAGAGATTACAAGTTTAACTATTTGATCAGTCTCAAATAGAGACAACATGGTTTAACGTGGACTAGTTGTTGGGAAACCACCACAGACTGATACAGTTCTTCCTGCCACAGAGCTAAAGAAAATGGCCTCCTTTACCAGCACTTTCCATTTCCCAGCCTCTCCTAAAAGATGAGGTCACACCAGGCCATCTGAAACATTCACTCCCCTGCCCACCCACCCCGCAGAGGTTTACATTTCCCAGACTGTCCCGCGTTTTGCTTCATTTGAGGATAGTACAGTGAAGGCAAGAAGCTAGGAGAGCAATCTGAGGCCAAATACCTGTGCCTCATCAATGACCCTTGTGAATGGCTGCTGCTTTGTCCAGAAGTGAGAAGGGAGCAAAGGAGGATCTGCCCCTATCATCAGTGGAAGCACCTCTTCAGGGATTCTTGGCATTGCCGGCAGCAGGAAATGCTTCCTTATTAGCATTCCGAAACCACAAAGAGCAGACTGGGGTGGGGGCAAGCCTGGATAGGCAAGCATTATCTCACAGCCACTTCCACCTTTGCCCAGCGTCCTTGGCCAAAAGACTACCGGTTCCTAACACCTACCTGTTACTTCACCCAGAACTAGGGTGAGGACACTGGACTAGGAATAAGACATGACCTTGGACAAGTCATCTTTCCACATCCTCACTTTTCCCAACTATAAAGGGGCCTAGGAAGGCTGAGGAGGATAAAATCTTATCTACTTTATTGGGTAGAAGGTGCAACTCAAAGCATTCATTCATTCACTCAGTTATATCTACGGATGCGTTTTGGACACACTATTTGTGGAATGCTACTGAACAGCAAAGTCCTACACAACCACGCGGATTTCTTGGTGTCCTGAGGCTTGTTAGGCACCCCTGGGGACTCCACCTACTGCTGGGGACGAGGCTGTGTGGCCTACCGATCCGCTAGGATCCGTAGCCGCCTCTTGAGAAGCCTTGGTTACAGCTGCTGTAAGGCACAGGGCGTCCTCCTCCAGGAGCCCCAGACTGTACCAACCGTTTCTGGCGCTGGGGGAATCTGAAAAAGACCTGGCCGCCACAAATGGCTCCATTAGGGCAAACTGTCCACGACTTATTATTGTTTTTTTCTTTATTTTTCTGAGACAGAGTTTCGGTCTCGTTCCCCAGGCTGGAGTGCAATGGCGCGATCTCGGCTCACGGCACTCCGCCTCCTAGGTTCAAGCGATTCTCCTGCCTCAGCCTCCCGAGTAGCTGAGATTACAAGCGTGCGCCACCACGCCCGGCTAATTTTGTATTTTCAGTAGAGACGGGGTTTCACCATGTTGGTCAGGCTGATCTCGAACTCCTGACCGCAAGTGATCCACCCGCCTCGGCCTCCCAACATGCTGGGATTACAGGCGTGAGCCACCGCGCCCGGCCTGTCCCCGACTTATTAAACGTCGAGACTAGAACGGGAAAACTGCGAAGCGGTGTCGTGGGGAGCGCAAAGGGTTGCGGGGCGACCGCCCTGGGTCCTCCCCCGGCACAGTCCCTCACGCTCCACGGCGTGACCTTGAACAAGTCGACTCTACCTTCTGGATTCATCT